TGTTATAAAAATTTATTTGAACCAAACAGAGGATACACCTGAAAACAAGATCTCAACATACTGAGAAAAATGCTTTGGACAATAACAGTTTGCAGTTTCTTTTTGTGCATTTGAGATTCAGGAGAGAATCTAAGAAAGATTAACCCCGAGGGCGAGTCGTCTACGTGACGGATGGACGGACGGCTGCGTGTTTTTCAGCCTTGGGTGCGCTTTTCCCTGGTCAGGGCTGGGACCAAAAGAGGAGGAAAAAAAACACACAAAAAAACCAGGACTTCCCCAGCCGCCCAGCTTGGTGGAAAGACCTTCCTGACGCCCTTCTCGTCACTCGCTTTGACGGCTGCGAGTTTGGGCCGAATGGGGTGTTCTCTCTCCGCCCGCCGCAATTAGTCGGTCCCGTCTAGAGGTTTCAAATGCCAGTTGTATATTTTGAAACAGAAGCAATGCCTTTTTGGGGGGCCTGTGTTGGGGGGGGGTGGGGGGGAACTAGCAAGAAACTTCACATGGGAAATGACTTTCAGTTGGCTTTTCTGAGTCCTGGTGAGTTTTTCCTCCATTTGCGGCGGCTTTAGTTCCTCGGGCCAGTGGTCAAGGTGTCCTGTCTGGGTGGGAAACAGGTGTTGTTGTTGCTTGTGCCCCGGAAGAATAAAGAGGGTTGTACGGCTGGGGACGAGAGCCCCGTTAAACTCAGAACACGAGCCAATGATTGGCAGACAAAGTGTTTGACATCCCTGGAAGTTAAATGGTAAATATCTGCGATGAAACTTCCCATAGTGTCTACAGTCATTCCTACCGACCGATGTTATATTGGTAGGAAAACCCATCTGTCTTGTTTCTTTTTAAAATACCCAGCTCTTGTCCAAAGAAATGGTGTTTTGTGCACGGGCTTGTGATAGACACATTTGGCAGGAAATATTAGAGGGTAGTGGTTCCATCATCCATTTTTTTGAACAGTTAACTTCATGGCTTAAGTTTAAACGGATATTTTTGTCAATGTTTGGCTAATCTTTTGCCCACTTAACCAGAAGTGAGTATCAGTAGTTAACCCACATCTATATCTTGTATGTATGAGAAAAAGCTGTCTTGTAATTGTTCTATTAGACTTGCATTCCAGTCCAAAGTAGACTTTCACAGTGTTTACGATCACATTGACATTTTGCACCCCCCTCCATGAAGTGTTTACTTGAGAATTTTTGAGTTTGGGCAGTTTGGTAATCCAGTAACCGCAGTCTTCAACAGGATTTCTTGACCTGGCATTGTTGACATTTTGGGCCAGATAATTATTTATGGAGAACTGTTCCTGTGTATTGTGGGATGTTCAGCAGCATCCACCACCTCTATCCTTTCATGCCAGTAGGGCTCCACTCACCCTCTGTCCAGTTGTGACAACAGAAAGTGTCTCCAGATATTGACAGTATGTTCCCTGTAGGGCAAAAAATCACTCTCAATTAAGAACCACTGGTTTTACAAAAGCAATTTGATTTTCTAAGTGGAGTAATTTACACCAACTTGTCACTCTTTATTCTCCACAAACCAGCTGATCTGCTTTCTTCTGTTTTCAATGCTCTCCAGTCATCGCTTGGTATCCTAAACTAGTTCTTTGTCTTTCACATTCCATTTTGATTGCCACCTATCCTAGCAATATGCCTCCTACTACTTCTCTTTTGGGTTTTTGTCCTTGCTTCTCAGATAGTCTTGCCATTCATCTTTACTGTTACAAAACAAAATCTGCCTAAAGCATTCGCACTGCACCTCCTATTAAAGTTGAAACAACTGTGCAGTTACCAATAATTTCAAGTTGTACAAAAGAATATGTAATAAATCTTCCTGCATTAACTACTCTTGCTTTTTTGTCATGTATTTTGAAGCTCATATCAGCATGTAAAGACCTACAATTACAAAACGTAGTGACTTAAAATATTAACAGGTTTATTATTCACTCATGATTCTTCTCTTGTCAGTACTCCCTCCCCATCTTCAGCCCCTCTCTTGATGTTGGACCTTTTCCTTTATATTGTTCTTTCAGCAAATCTTTGGATGCCTCCTATGTTCCGACACTGCCAAATGCTAAGAATAGAGAGAAGGAAGTTCTCCCCTTAGAGTTCATGTAATTAGGATTTTTACCCTTACACATACACACACACTAAACACTTTCATACACCCCACCTCACATTCTATCTAATGCTCCATCATCCTTTCACAAGTCAAATTTATTCAAAAAAACTAAATTCTACTTAGTTGCTCTACTTGCTCAACTAACTTACGTTTTTCTTTTTAACATACATATATTTATTGATTTCAGAGAGGGAGAGAGAATTGGAAACATCAATGATGAGAGAGAGTGATTGATTGGCTGCCTCCTGCACACCTCCTACTGGGGATCAAGCCCGCAACCCGGGCATGTGCCCTCGACCAGAATCAAACCTGGGAACCTTCAGTCTATAAGCCAACGCTCTATCCACTGAGCCAAACCAGCTGCGGCTAACTTTCATTTTTCAACATACAGCAGTGACTTTTGTACCTCACTACTCCATTTAAACAGCTCTTGCTACTCAGCTACAGCCAGCTGTTGCCTTGCTGGAAATTGTTTCATTATTGCACAAGCCAAATGCATCAAAATGTTGTTTATTGCCTCTGGATCACCAGTTTTGTTTTTATCAGCATGTCACACAAAGTGCTCTGTGGAACTGATCCTGCTTCATCTCAACTTCTCAACATCTGACCTGTGCTTCAGGAATACCAGACTACTTGCACTTTCTCCCGTTTTTCCTATGCGTTCTGTTCCCTCTGCCTGCAGTATTTATTCTCCCTGTCTTCCTAAGTACTTAAATTCATTGTTCAGGTCAAACGTAATCTCTGAAACCTCGTCCAGCAGGTATAGTTAGTACTTCTTAAATGTTTCCACAGCATTATACATTACTTCTGTTACACCCTTACCATGTTTTATGGTAGCTGTATGTTTGCTTTCCTTTTTTTTTTTCCTTAGAAAACATGCAAAATTTAACCATTTCAGTGATTTTTAAGTGTACAGTTCTGTGGCTTTATTTACATTCACGTTGTTCTGTAACCATTACCGTTATCCCCCTCTAGAATATGTTGTGGTCATTAATCCTCACCCCTAGTATATTCCTCCAATTATTCTCAGAGAAAGTGGAAGGAAGGGGGAGAAGCAGAGAGAAAAACAGCGATGTGAGAGAGACACGTCAATTGGTTGCCTCCCACGTGTATCGACCAAGCCAGAGGTCGAACCTGCATTCCAGGTATGTGTCCTTGACTGGAATTGAACCTGGGACCCTTCAGTCCTCAGGTCCATAGATACTCTATCCACTGAGACAAACAAGCCAGGGTACCCTCTAGAATTTTATTTCTAGAAAGTTACTTACTTTTTTGTCATAGTCAGTATTTTTAATCTGGGATTAATGCGCAGGCTTCAAAAGTTCTGGGATCCCACAAACTATCTGTAAAGGTTTATGTGCAGGTAGCGTATTTTATGGGTGAAGTGTCCAAAACTTTCTTTTTTAAAAACAAATATACTTTTACATATTTCAGACAGGGAGAAAGAGGGAAAGTGAGAGAAACATCAATGAGGAGATACATCAATCAGCTGCCTCCTGCACACTCCCTACTGGGAATTGAGCCTGCAACCTGGGCATTTGCCCTGACCGGGAATTCAATCATGACTCCCTGATTCATAGGTCATAGGTCATACTTCAGCCACTGGGCCAGAACTTTCTTAGGATTCCTAAATAGGTTTGTTCCTTTCTGTGTGAGTCAACATCCATTCAGGAAAATTGAAACCAGTCTGAGTATTTGACAGTAGAGACCCGCTGCACGAA